GGATAGACAGGGCGAACGAGCACCCTGCGGGTCCCCAGGCTCGCTGGGGTCTCCTGTATTTGTACAGGCTGCGGTCCCCTCTCCTCCCAACCCTCAAAGAAGAAACCGCGCCTAAGAAACTCAAACTTCACCCAAAGGACCATGCCATGTTGTGGCACGCCAGCAGCATTGCAAGCCTTACCCACTGGGGAAGTTTCAAGAGGAGACCAGACCTAGTTTAAATTAAAGCCGCATCTGCGAGAGCGGCTCAGCGGTAAGAGCAATCTTGCAGAGAACTGCTGTGCAACTGTGCAATTCAGTCATCTCCTAACGAGCTCGTGCCTCTTCTCCCGCTCCCACTACGGAAGAGAGGGGAGAGCCAACTTCCAGCCGTGCCGCACAACGCTCTCCTTTCCTGGGCAAGGAGCAAAGTGCTGACTCCCAACAATTGCCTCCTCCTCAAGTTCGTTAGATGGTTTTACTAATTAGCAGGCTCCCCATCTTATCACGTGCTGCACCTGAAATCCCACTTGTATTTTTGAAGCAAGTAATTAAAGCCAGAGGTACTTGAATAAACAGGCACTGACAGAGACTAATACTCTATCAATCTAACGAAGCAGCTTGCTGGACTCTAAGATGCCCAGGCTCAGATACTAACTGAGTCCAAGGGCAAAACATGCCTTGGCTGGCAAACATATCCTCTGATGTGGCCACCCCCAGGTAAATCCCTGGTAACTTTGCTGAAACTAATCAGATTCTGGGGAGAATTTGGGTCATTAAATCTGTCAGGGGCCAAAACAAACAGAAAAGAAGTAAGGCTGCCGCCCTCAGAGCACAGAGAAGTAGTAATGATCAACAATTTCAACACCTTCCCTGTAGAGACTGCAATAATTAGCCAGTAACTGTCGGGCATGATTTTCCTTTTACATAGAGGGACTAGGAGGTTACCTGCTTCAAGGACAGCAAACACAGCTCTGCTTCCTTCATACAAAATTAACTGGAAAATGCCACCACTGCCAACCAAATCCCAATAAAAGTCAGTGTTTCATCATCAGCCACTTGTTGGTATGTATTAGAAACCACTCCGCAGTGCCATAATGCAATATATTGCCCCCGGTTACCACAGTTGCCAGCAGAGTTGGTTGGAACGGGGGGGTATAAACAGCAAAAGATAGAAACAGGTGGAGAGAAAGAAAAAAAAACCAACCACTTACTTGATATTGTCAAGACATCCAGATTCGGGTTTCAGTATGGCAGTATGATGGAACATTTTATAGAGTGCAATCCCAAGGAAGATGACATTAAGCTGTCATGGGGGGGGAAGAAAAAAAAAAAAAAAGGGTTACATGACATGACCCGATGTGATGGGGAGAAAGTCAGCTGCTTCTCTGTAACAGATGCGTTGCTGTAGGAAATTAGCTCTTGTGATGGTTTTATAGCAACTGAAGCACAGCAAATTGCCAAGCGTTTTATAAGGTGAGCTGGCCTGTAGACTGCAGGACTGGGGATGCCACAGTGTTACCAAAGCCGTGGTACTGCTTATGTTATTGATACAGGGCTGGTTCCAACATCAACTGTAGTGCTTCAAGTGATGTTATGAAAAATTGAAAGTATTTGCTGTAACGGCTCTTCTGTGTCTGAGAGGTGTACAGATGTGAAAAGTCAGTCCAAGCACCTTGCTTAGCTGGCCCCGTTGTAATGGAAGCAAAAAAGCATCTTTTGCTGTGAATGTATCTTTTAAATATGAGGGAGATGGGCAGGGAAATCACAGCTGCTGAAGATGCTTAGCACAATGCAAAGTTGAAAAATAAAAAGGAAAAAGAGTTTGATTTGTTCTGTAAAAGATGTGATGGTGTTTCAATGCCTCAGTGTTATCGAGGCTGCCAATTCCTAGAAAGGAGTTCCTCCAAAAGCCCAGGCTGGGGTTGGAGACATAATCAAAAAGGGAAGATACCTTTTTATGAATGAATTGCTTAAGGGGAAAAAAACCCAAGAGTTGTAGCTGGCGGTGGCCCCCCACCCCCAGATGTGGCGGGCTGCTGAAACAGCCCCCAGTTGCAGGAGAAGCAGGGACAATGTCTGCATTGAAGTGAGAGTGCCTGGTTCACTGTGTTAGCCAAACTGTAGTCTATTCAAAACAAAGGATGGTTTATTTAAGCCATATTGTAGCGATTAAGGTAGAAGAAAACTCCAGCTGCCTCTCAAGTTGGGTTCTCTACCTTGTTGCTGTGTTAGCTGATACGCTGGCAATGTGCTAACCGTGAAGTCACACAAGCTTCAGCTTCTGCTGGGGAAGAAAAACCTCCATCAAAACTCTCTTCCAGTTTGGTCTTTATTTCACTCCCCCCATCCCAGATTCCCCTTTTTTGCATGACCGATGCAAAGCTTCGCTCTGGAATTCAAAAGGGGGTGAGTGGGGTACTGAGTGGCATCGAAATAGAGTCTGGCACTTCTAAACATCCGATGGTAGAAACCAAACTCTGCAAGCGCCTACTCCGAAGCTCCCTGGCCCATTTTGATCAAGTATTTTGCAACGCCAAGAGCCTCTCCTAATGAGGGTCTAATTGCTTGTGCCAGGTGGGGTCAGAGAAGAACATGCCTTTCTCAAATTAATCTGTGTAAATTAAAGATAAAGAGTAAAGGGACAGCAAAAGTTTTATTTCTTGACCTGAGAGATGGAGTAGTTAATTAGGAGTTCTTACCATAATTATCAAGGTCGCCGGTCCTATAAAGCTCCAAATGAAGTAGGTGTCAAGTCGGAGCCAACATCTGTAATGAAACACAGGGGAGAGAAGGCATTCAAGGACTGCACCCAGGACATACATCAAGAGTGAGCGAGTGACAGAGAAGAATGTGAGCTGCAAAACACGCCGATGGGAGACAGGAAATATTACATTGCTTGTTCATTTAAATGCTGAATTATGTGCCCAATTTCTGACAGCGCTATTGATGGAGTAAGATAATTACCTTTGGAGGAAGCAGGGAGAAAATGGCACAAGGCCTAGTTGTTAAAGCTTTCTGCATCTGTTGGAAAAAATCCTTAAAACTGTTTTTTTTTTAAGGAAGGGGTCCAATGAGCACCCATGGAGCTTCTTCTTTGCTTTGAGCTCCTCTTCCCTCTCCGGCTCTGATGCAACGCAAGCTGTCTGTCAACTGTCAAGTGAGATGGCATCTCTCCGGCAAGCAGATTAGAGCAAATTTGGTGCAAATAGGAAGCACGATTTGGATAACAGAAGGCTGAGGTTTAATTAGGTTCAGCAACTTCCCCTTTAGAGCGTTTTCTTTCCCTGAACCTCTGGAGTGTTTTGTTTCCGCTAATGTTTCGAGGGTTGCATATGGTCTGCGCTATCACATGAAGTTGATTCATGGCCTAAAACTAAATTATTAATCGCTTAATTTCGACCGCATTTAATACTCCCCACATTTTTTAAGGCCCTTGGGAAATTACATTTCCATTCCTAGTTCATTCCAGGCGACAGGAAGATAAAATGGAAGTGACTGGTTACACGACAGATGAATATAAATTCCGAGAAAGTTTCGCATGATGTTTAAAATAATAATATCTTGTCATGTTTGCAACGCTGCAAATCACAGCTCCGTTTATACACAGAGGACTAAGAAAGCATAAAACCACTCTCATACTAAATATCTGATGGAATTTCATAATTGGGCAAGGGACAGGAGCTGTATATATGAATTTATCATGATGGAAGAGATAGCAGTTCTCACAAACGACAGCTCTAGTGCACGTGCTGTGTGGTTTTTTTTCCCCTTCCAATGGACTTTGCAACAGGTAGAAAGGTCTGTGCCAGCAGCCCCATGGAAGAGATCAGCAGAAACTGCCTGCCCAGAGAATAAAACATGCCCTGAACCTCTACAACTGGGAGAAGCCAAGATATGAATAAATGCAAAAATGTAGAGAAAGCTTCTCACTTCCCTCCCTGACCATATAAATTTCAGGTCTCGTCAGTGTTGAAGATATATTGATATATATACGGTTGTACCGTTATTTGTCACAAAATAAAATACTGTCATTTCCATGACCCTCACTCCTGAACTGCCTCTGCAGCTGTTCATCCAAAATCTTCATGTGACGGCACCAAAATCTTAATGCGAGGCAAACAGAGGCTTTTCAGAGCGATTGCAGGGAAATCTTGTTTCCTCTGCGGCTGCTGAAGTTCAAGGTGATTTAGATGCAGCTGGTAATGGACCAACATGAGTGACTAGAAACTATTTGAGTCTGATTTCCTATAGGAAAGGGTTTATGTGATCCTGACATCTGTGTAGCACCCATAATAACATCTGAAATGTCGCCCAATTGCAACTAGATTTGACAGAGGAATAGAGGTTTCAAAGATAATGAAGTCCCTGTAAAAAGTCCTCCCCCCATCCCTGAAAAAAGACATCCACATAGCAGGAGCTCACACATTACATGGCATTTCAGACTTTAAACCTACCCCATCCCACAGGAAAAAAGCGTAACCAGGGCTTATGTCTCAGCTGCCACATATAAATCAGGGACTACGCAGCCCCACCACTTTTTTCTACTGATAACAAGGGTCCTGGTGTGTGGGAGAGGACTCAGAGGGTTGTTGGTGGGGTTTTTTTTAATTAAAATATTTTGAACTTTTTTGCCAGTTTAACATTCAAAACATCCCCCAGCCCCTGCTGCACAGGAGTCAGGAGCACAGTGTATTTTAATTGCCAAGCAACTTGGTTTTCCTTCAGCACAAAGAGCATGCCCACTCTTGGAAAGCCCAGGGAAGAGGAAAGACATAAACCCTCTCTTTACTCCTTAAAGCATGATGGCCAGCCATATGGTCACATCTGATGCAGCTGTTTTTGAATGCATCGAGACTGGGACATGGGGAAAATCAGTGAAAGCTGAAATACAGCACGAGGGAAAAGCCGTGCCGGGCTGAGCAAAGAAGCGCAAAGCATCTGGTTTCCTTTCCAGTCAGCCAAATGGATGAAATTTTCCACCCCGTTCCCCTAAACCAATCTGTCTCTTCGGTTGTGGAGCACAATCCGGTAACAAGAGATGGATACTGTGGATGGGAAACAGCCGAGGAGCCAGGTCCTGCCCTCGGGATAAGTTGGGGACATGCATGGAGCAAAAGGGTCCCCTTCCAATGAGAGGTGGCTTTATCCAAGCAAGAGTATAGCTTGTGACAATCAGAGAAGGCTTTTTATCGCCTCTCTGCCTGCTTTAAAGAACGTGATGTCATTTTTTATGTGTTTGGAGTAGAAAAATCACCTTTCAGAGAAAGCATGTATGACACTCGGTCTTGGGCAACTAAACAGAAAGCTGTAGGACTGCCTCTAATCTGCAGAGGGACTTAAAAAAGCAGGTGGTGTGTTTTTTTTTTTTCCTGTGGTCATCAGGAACAGACGCAACTTTAAGTCATACCTCATTAAAAATGCAAATTAAGCCCAAAACATCAAAACACAGGCATCCCGCCAATTGCGTTGAGGAGCTGTAAATTGCTAATCAGACAAGTCCCACACTGAGCTTTTCTTCCCTTAAAAGACAAAAAACCCACACGCACAATGAGCTGCATAAATGAGCTCCTCAAAACAAGGAAGCAATCAGGCAACTTCATTTCCCAAAGTTGCTAATCTTGGGCTGCCGAGTTACTTCTGACCCCCCATGTGCAGCTGCACCCGGAACACGGACTTGCCGCACTACAAGTTTCAACTTCGCTGCCGTTAAGCAAACGAGCTGCTTCGGGGCTCAGTATAAGGCAGAGAGGATTATCTGAAAATCTGCGGATGCAGGGGATGCTGCTCAAAAGCCCATTGCTTCTTCCAAGAGTCACACCAGCATATTCAGCGCTCGTAACAAGCTCCTTGGTGCTCCTTTCCTTTACTTTTTAATTTCCTCCTTTCCCACAGCGACAAGTCGCTATGTTCACCTAAAGCTTTTCCCAAGTAATAAAGACTACAAAGAGTTTACTCTATTTTCTGCATGAAGAGAAATCAAATACTAAACTATCCCTGGTGGGCATTAAATATAACCAATAAACAATCATTAGCTGCCATTGGACCATAAAATTCGAAGAGTCCTGAACATATCATGTTTTTCGTGGAAGCTCAGCCGTTTGTTTCACATGGCTCCTTGTCCGGGTGCGGTAATGGGATATGCACGCACAAGACATGCCTTTCAAGGGTGCAATATCGGTTCTCCTTAACGCAGTCCAGCGTTCACATTGCTCATGCTTCCTCCTCCAAACACCCGGCACGAATGTTGAAAATAAAACAAGCTCCGTGGAGCCACCCAAGACAGACTGTATTGTTAGAAGCTATTTTCCAAGCGACATTAACATGCATAAAATGTCGGCGGCTGGCTGATGGACTTGGAGGCTCTGTACATACACCAGGCTTTCATTTTGCTTTCTGACAGCTGGATTTTTTTACCATGTATATCCTGCTTTACAGCATACCAAAAAGGGGAGAGCAAGAGGGAGAAACAATAGAGAGATTCCTATCACGATGAATTTGATCACCAGTAGATGAATATACCTACAAGTCCATTTTCTAAAACACATTGAACCATTCAAAGCATAGCCGCTTTCCTCTGAGATTTGTAAGAGGCATTGATATGAGACCCAGGACAGTATGGGAATAGGGAATGGCTTCTTGCTGTCGATTTTGGACAGCCTGCTACTTGAGTGAGTCCCCTCAAAGGGAGGCTGCTAAAGTCTTAATCCAGCTTTTACTGAATTTTAGACATAATTTATTTTCAAACGCAAACAACAACTGCAAATTCTATTTTCCCTCTGCATTTCACAACATTGCCCACCATGAGGCTCGACATCGGACCCGGCCAGGAGATGGATGGATTTGGCTAACACACAGGACAAGGCAGATGATGTAACTTTTAAAAGTGCAATCACAGTGCCTTTTTTTTTTTTGCAGCAAAACTTGAGACGTGGCCATTTAGGACTCAGCAGCTGGAGACTTGGCCCGTAAGAAATGGTCTCTTGGAAGTTCACGTAAACATCGCCAGAATTGCTTTGGCAATGTTGGGGCACAACACTGTCTGCAGTGGGGCTTCCTGCTTCTCACCTTTACTTTACAAATTACAATCAGAACAAGGTGAGATGTAACATGTCTGATTTATTTGGGGAGAACGGCCAAACACGGCTCAGCTTGCTCACACGAACAGTCTCTGCTGGCCTGAATGGGATCGTCTTTTAACGGAATCTTGGTTGTAAATGCAAATTAATCTCCTAATGCGAGTGGTTTGAACTGCTCTTAAACGAAAAAAGTAGTAAAAGGAAAAGGATTAATTCCAATCCTCAAAATAATCAAGTGTACAAGAGTATCTTTACTGGGCAGTTACTCCAAAATGCCAATATGAATGCTAGGACATGGGACGCTTCAGAAAATCACAAGCAGCAAGTGATGTGCAAAGAAACAGAGAGAGGAACAGCTGCCTGTTCCTGGCTATGTAATCTGGACGTGTGCTACAGGAGGGTTGGATTTAGAAAGGAAAATGAAATCAAGAAACCCTACATTGGGTGTCTAAGCAAATCATTCTGAGATGTATGAATGGTGGCACCAAATGCCAGGCAAAAAACAAATAACGCTAACAGCTCCATAAGTCCTGCTTAAACAAATGCAATAAATAATGGAGGGAGGCAAGTAATATATTCCAGAGGATGTTTTACAAAACCTGGCAAAATCAAGCAACTTCTTGCAATCAAATTATGTATGCCTGGCATATAGTTCACTACAAATTCTAATCAGTTCTACCCTTCTAATAACATTATACAGAAAAATACATCATCATCCATCAACCAGATGGAGCATGATAGTTATACAAACCATATTGTATGTTTTTTATTTTCCACTATGAGAACGTGATAAAATTGTGCACTCTGGAATTAGAGATTATAAATAAATAGTTTAGGCTCTGCAAATCTCTGTAAATATTTATTTGCAAAATTTTATCTATACATGTTTAATCATTACAAATACTACTTTATGCTGTGGGGAGGGAGAGAGATTTTAGTGGCACAGACATAGAGCTGCTGCCTCCTCAACAAAAAGATAGCAAAGTTTAGTTGCTCACCTCCTGTGAATTTCAGCCAAACTTTCTGCCTGTACCTCCCATGCCATGGAAACATTTGGGCACCCAAGGCCTGCTGGGAAAAGGTAGCGTAACCTGTGGAAGATGTTCATTTCGCTGCGCTTCCCAAAGGTCCGTATATTCATTTAACAGAAGTGGAAACATTTTGGCAATGCAAAGCTGCCATGGTGCTTTATGGGAGCTATGGTTAGGTGCCGTATGTTCTCTACAGCCAACCTGCTGCGTGTCGCGATCTCCCATCACCTACATTGGTATTCTAGTTGTCCCTCCAGAGCATTGTCAGGGACTTTGCAAAGATGAAGGTGGATGCAAATCAACCACTGTCTCATGTCCAAAGTGATATCCTGGCCTTAGGGATGTCCTTTTACCACGAGGGAATGTAGTAAGACATTTTCAACACCCAACACTTATGGAGCACAGTAAGAGGACGCAGTTGGTGCTAGCTTTCATCGCAAACTAACTGCAATGCTGGGTTTTCTTGGTAGGCAGCTCAAAATACAGAGAGAGAAGTCAAAAGGATCACTCTGGTGCTACAAGCCCTGTGACCATAATGCTGCAGAAGTCAAAGGGTGAAGATCGTGGGAGGCAGCCACTAAAACACCAGACCGCGAATCGGACTGGTAGGGACACACCTCCAGCAATGGAAGATGTGCAGGAACATCTCAGCTGGCTTTCCAGGGAGTCAGACTCATGGCTCTTCGGCTGTAGCATGCTTGAGGTTCAACGTGCCCCATGTAGGCCACTGTGAAGAGATAGGTCCTCCATAGAAACACTGCAGTAAGAATAAATTTGTCTAATGGGACAAGGCAGAATGTTTCAATACCTGATTCAATGGGGGCTTATATATCGCTCAAGAGGGGGTGTGAACAGAAGAGTTGGTTGAGGCAGGAAGCACGTGGCAGCTGATAGAAAGAGTCTTCTCCAAAAACTGTCATCAGCTCTTGTGTTACTTTTTCTTTGCCCCGTAGGCCTTCTTAGTCGGTCAAATTACTTTGGATAAATCGGTAGAGATCCTTGAAAACTTACTCCCTCCTACCTTTACCTGTGTGGGCCATTTTCTTTCCAGAAAGTATGACATTTTTACAAATTCAGGTTGCTATTCTCCTACTCGTGGGAGGAACACAACGCAAATATCCAGCTGGGATCCAAGCCTACCTGCTGGCATGGTAATGGATCATGAGCAGCTCCACTGCTCTACAGATTTGCTTCCGCAAGGAATCAGGTTCATATATACCAATAAGCTTTCAGGCAAAAATTCTGCAGTTGAATTTAACAGCATACCAACTACTGCCTAGCCTGACCTGACCTACGCTAAAGAAGAGCTTTAAAAATGCCACCAGCTCATTGCTATGTATGCCTTCAGATCGAGCTCTTAACTCAGTTAAAATGACAGGGGAAAGGCAGTCTGACAAGGGAAAGCAAAAAAAAAAAGTCAATAAAACCACATTGTTAGTGCTGTTGTAACAAAGCTGGCAAAGAAAATCAAAGGCTCGATTTTCCCTTTGTTTTCCATTAGACGGTGTTGCACAATCATCTAAATTGTGCTTTGATACCAGCTTCAGCAATGTTGAAAACATTTAAGAATATTCATAATGATAAATGATGTAGCTGTTCTGAGTTGCAAAGAGTCTAATGCACTCCACAGTCACCACCTATTTTGCTTGCAGGCTCTGTTAATTCGATAGAACACTTAAAAAAGAGGAAGAAGAAAGCAGTGTCTCATCATCCAAATGTGCAATACTCTTTGGTTAGAGAAGAAGGATGACCTTGCTGATACAGTTCCAAATTGAGACTTGGGACAGCCACCTCTGCTGATGTTATGCAAGGATGTGATAAAATTTGCCCCACCCGACTTCCCCAAGAAAATACCTTTGCAAATAATTTCATCGTGAGGAATTTGTCCTGTATCATCACAGACTGTGCTGGAGACACAGAGAGAAGGCAAGGCATGCCTCCTGGCTGAGCAATGCCTGCACAAGCTTCCTTTGCCTGCCAGGTCTCTGGGTTCTTCGCTTCCCTTTGTCATCCCCGCTCCCATCCCTCTTGACCAGGACCAAGCAATGCCAAGCCCCACTCACACTTTGTCCGTGCCATAGCTCCGGTAGTCCACCGCTGCCGATACAGCCACAATCAGTGCAGGCATGCCATAGCCGATCAAATAGAAGTACTTCCTCCGGGAGTGTTCGCTCTCAAAAACTTCCACCAGCATGATGTAGAGCTGCACCCCCTCCAAGAACATCCAGGTGAAAGCTGCCAGGAAGAAGAAGTGCAGGAGGGCAGCAAAGACGGCACAGGCAATCTGCGTGCGGATTGAAAAGAGCAAGGGAAGGTGTTTGTACCACGCTGAATTAATGCAACAGTCAGGATTACTCTTACTGGGAGGTTTAATAAGAATGAGGGAATTCTTATCTTCCCTTCTCCAAAGGAAGACCTTTTTTTTCACTTGGAAAATGTGCATGAACTATTTTACAACAGACACCTCCCTGTGTATATAAATTCTATTCAAAGATACAAATGTAGGTATTTACACAATCTAGCAAATAAACATATGAAGACGTACATAGTGTAAGGGCATTTTTACAACCTGCTTATTGAACATACACACAGGCATTACTTATAAACACCACACATACAGCCTCTAAAATCACAGTAGGTATCAGCAAGAGAAGTTCAGGCTAGAAATGAGGAGGCATTTCTTCACTGAAAGGGTGGTTAGGCATTGGAATGGGCTGCCCAGGGAGGTGGTGGAGGCCCCATCCCTGAAGGTGTTTAAGAAAAGGCTGGAGGTGGCACTTAGTGCCATGGTCTTGTTGACATGGTGGTGTCACGGCAAAGGTTGGACTCAAATTTCTGCGAAATTCTGTGAAATTTGATTCCCAGTTGAATCAAACTGAACAACTAGGGGCCCAACCCTATGAGTGCTCATGCATGGAATTAAGGCAGCGCTGGAACATATCTGACTGCATGGCCAAACGTCCCATACGCACTGAGATGAGAGCCTGTGGCGGGAACAGAAAGGGCTTTGCTTCTTACCGGCTGGTCAGTTCGGTTGATGCCGATGAGGAAGAGGAGTTCTGCCACGAAGAGGCTGATGCACAAGTTCTTGTGAATCGTGTTGCGGTCGCTCTGCAGCCCACGGAAGAAGCAGAAGGTGAAGATGCAGATCAGGAGGCAGACCAGTGACAGCAAGATGCCAACCCACGTGATGAAGTCCAGGAGCAGGTCATGGACTGCATCGCTGTGCTGGAGAGAAAACAAACAAACAAAATCATCAGTCGCATGCTGCACGACTTCATCCCAGCCACACAGTGAGGTTGTCTGAGACCCTTCTCCAAATATTTGCATCCATTCACAAACCTGTGGCGCAAGGGACCAGTAGCAAAAAGATTAAACGAACCTAGACTTGAATCCGGTCTCAAGAAAGCTGCGACATGAAATACAGACTCCAAAGCGTCTGGCAAACTGCAGGTGCCCTGAACAGACTCAGACTCCAAAATACCCTAAAAACAATGACGCCGTTGTTGAAAATACCGAGATGTCATAGCTATTCTTGTGTGCAGCTCCATCTTTCATGAACGTGGCAAAGGAGCAGACACACAGTAAAAAGAACCGTTGAACACTGTGATTTAAGTGTAAAAACGTTTCACACTAACAACATCGTGGAGATTACAACCACAAGTCCATTACAACCATTTACCAACAGTGAAAAAAGACTCTCTTTAAATGTTCTCAGAGATGTATGAGCTTGGAGGCTTTGGATAGAAAGAGACTGCTTAAACGTCTTGTGATTTATTTTTTTTTTTCCACTGGGAAAGGAGAAAGTAAGTTTGATTTTTCTTTTTTCAAACCCTGGAGCTATATTTTAAAACTCCTGGGAGGTCAGACTGATCCCTGGAACGCTACGCAGAAAAAAAGACAGACCTTTTAACACGAATTTGCTTTTAAACTGTAACAGAACAGCGATTTTAAGACAGCTTGGCAAGTGAGTGATACCCTGTGATGAATTTGTAACATGGTTTTACCCCAAAGCCATGCAAACATGGCCATTGCAGTGGTAAAGTCAGGCAATCCAGCAACAAAGTTTTGCAAGGAGCAGCATAGCCAAGCCTTGGCTTTGCTGATAAAAACCACTGCTGGATTTTTCTGGGGCTTACACTGTACATCCCTCCCAAAAAGAGAAGAGGGGTGCTGGGACCCTGACACTGATGGTATCCCATCCAGCTTATTCCTTATTCAGGCTGTAAAACTCGTCCATAATTCCCCAAGTTTCCACCAGATGCGGTAAAATTAGAGGTATCATTACTTAGTGCAATGTAAAGAAGAAATGAGAAATACGTGGTGAGTCACGAGACGGCCGCTCGGGGCTAAGTGGTTACAGTCAATGAGCTGAGGGAAAGATTGGCTGGAAATCTCTAGGGGCTTTTCAAAAAGACCAGAGATGCTTGAAACCCAGTTTTGTGGTCCATCAGGCTGTGTTAGAAGTGGTATTCACCTTCTCCTCCACTTTTGGCATTTTGATGACTTAGGCATTATGCAGGCTGGCAAATACAATAGCGTCACACTTCAAAAAGCCAGGACAAACTGGAAACATTTTCCTTCCCATGGGATAAAAGCTTATGACAGATGGAGGGAAAAGGTGATTAATTTATCCATTTTCTTTGCCTGCTTGCCAATGATAAAGCCACATCAAATGTCAGGCCTTTCCTGATACACACTCTGCTATGTCAGCACCCATGAGAAACAACTCAAAACCTTTCAGCTCTTTGGCTTTATCAGCATGAGTGATAGGCATCAAATGATAATGAAAGATGGAGAGAGCCACTTTCTGCTCCATCTCTTCCATACTGGAAGTCTTCTCTCCAGGGAGACTTGGAGGTGGAGAGATGAGGGCTCCTTTCCCCAAATTCTCTTGCAGCTCTTGCTGAGTACTTCCAATATCTAAGGAACTAGGGGTCACAAGTCCAAGGGAGAGGCAAGAAATCATTGTGTGCTTACTGTAGATCATGACAGAAATGCCTACTCCAGCCAGCTCCTCCAGCAGCACCCAGAAAACTAAGATGAAGCGCACGTCTTTTTCCTGCCAGCCGCGCATTGCTTTATCTCAGTGTCATTCCAGCTCATCCATCCCTCTTAACTCAGCGCAAAACCATGTTAATGCAAACCTTGCACCTTGCAAATCATTCTTTCTTTCGTCCGAGGCTGTTGGGGAACAGCAGGAGAACACCTCCCTGAACAACCCCACCAACTCACCTGATTAGATCGTCCTGCCAGGCTGAGGTGACCCAGAGCTCTTGGGCTGGGCGAGTGGGGCAAGGCAAGGCTAACACAGGCGGATGCAAGGAGAAAGCATCCAGGCAGACTTTGGCCAGATACATCCATCCCATCCAGATACGGCCAACAGCACAGATTCATCTATCCCAAGACAAAATTAGCTCGGCACATGGAAAGCTCTCCGAGGGCTTCTTCCCCTACATGAGATGAATCTTACAGGTCTCAGCTTCTGTACCTTTATCTCGAAACCATAACTCTGCTGACTTTAAGACACAATGCAGGAATTAGGGGTGGTTTTGCTCCTGGAGAGGGATCCTGCCATCTAGGTTCATGGTCTTCCTCAAGGAAGGGCTGCTTGCCCACGAAGTTCACCACGCTGAGCAAGAAATGCAGACTTCACTGCTTTATTATTATTATCACTCTTACTACTCTTCTTTTTAATATTAATCGTAATGATAATACTGATTTTATGTACATAACACCCATCCCTGGAGTGCTGGGAAACAACCATAAAAACAACTTCTTCGTAATTACAACCTCCCTCCCCAAACTCAACAAACTCACAAAAGAACAAACAAAAAGGAATAATAACAATAAACTGGGAACAAGAGCAATTTAAAAACACCTCAAGGGAAAAAAAATATGAATTTGTAGCTTTTCTAGTAAAGAAACAACTGGGCTGGATTTCCAAGGCTGGGTGCGCTCCGTCCTGTTTGGGATGCCCAACTTCAGGTGCCATGGCAGAGCTGATGGGTCAGGGAGGAGTTGGTAAACACTAGCATCCTTCCCATGGCAGCGCCAACTGCCCCCAGGCCAGGCACATCCAGAGCTTTTACACCAGCAAGTCCAACAAAAGGGAATCTGCCTTTTGCTGGAGACTGCAGCTTGTAAAATACTGCGTTGCCACAGGCCACAAAGCATAATAATACGGGAAAAGGAGGAATCGTGGTATTCACTGCTCAATACCATGAGTTTATCTTTGCCATCACCTGATCTCTACGTGACAAACAAGGCAGCAACGTACCTGGTTTACACAGTTGGTATATGGCATTCCAGGGTTAAGGATGATAAGCAGCACACCAAGATTTTGTACCCGGGTTGTAGTCTCCGAGTCTGGCCCCTCAACTGCAGAGACATGCGAGAGGAGCAGATCTTCTCTTTACCCTACTCAGCACTGCTCAAGCACTCCCTGACTGAGGAGTCAACAAATAGCTTTGATGTATGTGCTAACGATATCCTTCCAGCACCCTGCAAGCCCCAGGGTCCCCAAGGCATGCAAAATATATTTGAAACCACCTCGATAATCTCCCCAAAGACAGGGGCAACCAGAAGAGGCCATGGGAGATACCAGACAATTGTTCAAGGGACAATTTCCTGACAGCATCATAGAATCACAGAATGGTTTGGTTGAAAGGGACCTTAAAGCTCATCCAGTTCCAACCCCCCTGCCACAGGCAGGGACACCTTCCACCAGACCAGGTTGCTCACAGCCCCATCCAACCTGGCCTTGAACACTTCCAGGGATGGGGCAGCCACAGCTTCTCTGGGCAACCTCTGCCACTGCCTCACCACCCTCACCGGGAAGAATTTCTTCCTAATAGCTCACCTAAATCTTCCCTCTTCCAGTTTAAGGCCATTGCCCCTTGTCCTGTCACTCCCTGCCCTTGTCAAAAGTCCCTCCCCAGCTTTCTTGTCGGCCCCTTTAGGTACTGGAAGGCTGCTCTAAGGTCTGCCCAGAGCCTTCTCTTCTCCAGGCTGAACAACTCCAACTCTCTCAGCCTGTCCTCACAGCAGAGGTGCTCCAGCCCTCGGATCATCTCCGTGGCCTCCTCTGGACTCGCTCCAACAGGTCCATGTCCTTCTTGTGCTGAGGACCCCAGAGCTGAAGGCAGTACTGCAGGGGGGTCTCACCAGAGTGGAGCAGAGGGGCAGAATCCCCTCCCTCGACCTGCTGGCCACACTGCTTGGGACACAGCCCACGGTATGGTTGGCTTTCTGGGCTACCAGCGCACATGTTGAGCCATGGGTCATGTTGAGCTTCTCATCAACCATCTCCTTGCCCAAATGCACTGTGGCTATCAAGACCGGTGCTACATGGCCCAGCGTGCAAGCCACTGAGCTTTGTTACCACTAAGCTATGCCAGCTTTACAGGTAAGTTGACACAGATTATTTTCAGCACAGGAACAATTTGTCGAGTAATTGAAACAAATAAAATAATCCACTTCACTGACAGAGTTTCTATATTAAGTACATTTTACATTTACGATTTAGGCATGAGCCTGAGCCAAAGCTCAGTGAAAGAAGATTTCCCTGGCTTTGGAATAAAGCTCTGCTTTTGCTCCGGTGGGGCCAAGAGTGGCAGGAGGAGAACGCTGATGGAAACCTGTGCAGGAGGAGTTACAGGAGCCCTGGTAGCAACCAAAGCAGGGTAAGCAGGCAGCTTAGATATTATCCAGGCTGGGAAAATCAACGAGCAGCTCTGGCAGTGCCCGTATCCCAGAGTTGAGCTAATAAAAACAAATCCCAGGGAATGTCAGCTTATGACAGAATGGCTCTCCCTGAGATGAACAGTCATTTCCTCCCTTATTAAAACCATCAGTAGAAGAAAACAGCAGCCAAACTGAGCTGCCAGCAGCAAAGGACACATTCCTTTGCCTAATCTGTCCCTCCAGGAATGGAAAGAGCAGTATGTTTGAGGGTGGAGGAATAAGCAAGCAGTAAATAAAAACACCGTGTCATCGACTAGCTCAGATATGACCGCTTGGTGCCCGGTGGGAGCTGGCAGTGTGCTGGGTTGGGCAGAGACCCAAGTGGGACAGGTTTGAACTCCTGCGAGTTGCTGATGCTGCTCCTCGAATCTGTAGCTATCTGGGGCCATGTGGGTTCCCTCTGCCCTTTTTTCCCCATCGCTGGTGTTGAGAGAGGATTACTGCTATGACCTGGCTGTAATGCCTCATGGTTAAGTACAAAG